GTTTCAGTATTTTCTGCATAAAAACAGTGCTTCATGGTCAGAGAATTAACTTTTAACAATGGGATCACGGAAAAAACAACTGGTTATTTGTTAATTTATTCATGTTATTTCATGATATTTTCTTGACTTTTTAAAGCAGACTGACTTCAGGTGACAGTAAAAATAACCCAATACTTAATCCATCAATATTTAATCCATGTCCATGTCTGTTGATGAGCTGAGAGTCAGAGGCAGATTCAGCAGGTAAAGTTCTGTCAGGTGAGCGGTGAAGGTGCTGGGCAGGTGTGAATGAAATATAAAATGTTTACTCAAATTAATATTTATTATGAGTACATTCTAGTTAGCTGTGTGAACTTAATTAAAGAAGTTATGGATCTAAAAGCATAATTTACAGCATGATTAACAACTTTTAAGTTTTATTTCTAGAAAGTGGTAGAGCTTGTTTTTCATAATTAGGATTTTCCTGGTTAAATAAACGTCAATAAACAAATCTGTCAATTCATCCATCATTAGATTTCTGATCAGTTCCAAACATCCATATATCTGTTTTTCTTAATATTTACAGGGTGATAAAACTGATGAAAGTTATATTTTATATGACCACTGTTTGACACAGTGTCATTATGGTAAAAGGCTGCATGATGTCATGTCAGTTTGTTATGAGTAGACCTGTCATTTAATCAGAAAAATAAATGCCCCCTTCATTGTGTAGTTAATATTTTAAACATGCAGTTGCTTGGCACAATGACATGTTACAAATAAAACTAAATCAAGAACAAACAATATAAAGTAAAATTCTCCTCTAAAGTCATTGTTTGGGATAAATTGTCACCTTAATTTCATTATCTGAGCCACAGCAGTGAGTTTATAAACAGGATGATTCAACTAGAATCTGCCTCTAATTTAGTTATTTAATCAAGTGTTTTTATGGAGGTAAAAATATGTTTAGGAACCTGCAAAATACACCAAAATGCAGGAAACTGCATCTACTAATTTCAAAATTTTCTGGGGGAGGACTTCCAGACCCCCCACTAATACCCCCTCACACACATTACAATGCTTCTGATGCTCATTGCTTCACATTAGAGAGAATAAACCAACACACCTGCAGTGCCCCACCTGTGTACTACAGAACTGAACTTTGTTCTATGAAACTAGTTGATTGTCAAACTGTACACCTGAGTTTAAAGAGCTGCTACACTACATAGTATAATGCAGGTGAACATCATGTACTGTATTGAGTACACATTATTGCACCACAGCAGAAACATTTACTTTGTTGTTGATGAAGTGTGAAGAGGCAGGTTTTGATCAGTGAATAAAAATACAAAAATATTACATGCTAGTGCTGCATCTTTGCCTAATTTTTTATATGTACAAAAATTGGGCCGGTCTTGGCCATTAAACTCCCGGGCTGAAAAYTTTCCCCACTCCGCCCCTGCTTGTGTCTGAATGGGTCGACCTCATTAAATAAAGACTAAATAACATCAAATGAAATTGAAAAGGTTACTGCTGATTTTTGTTAGAAAGCAGAGGGGGACTGACGTCAGCTCCYCTGGACGAGGTGTAGGGGCGCAGTCTGCGGCCTCTGACGGTGCTGCTGGGGGTGGCCTTTACCCCATTCTGCTTCTTCTTTGTTACTGGAGGCACTGGTGTGACATAGTTGTTGATGACTGGGAGGCAGTGGGGCGAGATGCCCTGAATAGCCTCCATTGTTGTCAAATGCCTGCGGGGTTTCTTGTCCATCTGGGAGAGAGAGAGAAAAAAAACGTGTTACACTCAAGTTAGAAAATAAAATGTGATTTGTTGTGTGTGTGCTCCTCACTGTGGCTTGGAACAGCTGCTCGTCCTCGTGTGGAGACTTGTGGGGTCTGTAGAGGGAGCTGCGTCTGAGTGAAGCTGTGGTGCTGTTACTGTGGATGGGCTTCAGGCGCGCCGGCCTCTGCATCTTCCCTGGAGCTGTGTTGGGTCGGGACGAGCTCGGCTAGAACAGGCACAGAGTTTAATTCTAATACAGTTACAGCAGAGAGTGTATTTACTGCATAACTACAGTACAGGAAGTTCTTTCACTGCTGAAGGGAATACAGAATTATTTATCCTGGTAAAAAAAAGTTTTTATGCAAGGCAATTATTTTTTGTCACTGTATGTTACATTTTTTAGCACACACAGTATTTTTGCGACACTGAAATGCTATACACAATGTTTAATAGTTTTTTTAACCATTAAAGACATTATTCTGTTTGTAAAAGACTTTCAAGTTGTCCAACAGTGTTTATTTTATCGTTAATTTCAAGTAAATGTGATTTTTTTTCTGTTTCCGCAAATTAAAAATCTGCTGGAAATAAATTAAACACATGCAGTAAATTATTATTGTTTAATTGTTAACTTAGCAGTAATTAAAAGTACAGAAATTTTTGAACTAATGTTGCCAGATAGGCACAAACAACTACATTATTTGAAAATGACTGCATTTTTCTCATTGTTGCACGTTTCATTGTTTTACCATTTGAAGGCATCATTTTTAAAAATACAAATTTTTGATTCCCTGCCTGAAATTACTTGAATGCATTTTATATCAATTTAATACTGAAAAGGGCTTTACTTCTGCATGAACACAAGAAACCAATAAAATAAGCACTGTGTTTAAGATAAAGTACAGAAGTCCTACAAAACCTTCAGAAAAGCAGAAATAGTTTTAAAATATAAGGTAAGGTATTCAGAAACAAACAGCCCCATCAAGGAAATAATTGCATTTTCTTTTAACGTTAAAAAATATGAACATCTGACAAATTAGATTTTTAGATTTAAAAGATTAAACCCATATGGGGTTTAAAGGGTCCACTCAGGATTGGACCGTTTAAAATGCTTCAGAGATGAAATGCAGGGTTCGCACACTTTTCCCACAGTAAAATTCAACCACTTTCAAACTGTCAGATTTTTATCAACAATCTACAAACACTGTGCAAATGAATACAACTCTGAAAGCTAAATTATTATTTGTCCCTAGGTGTGAGTGAGAGAGTGAATGGTTGTGTGTCGTTTGTCTCTATGTGTGGCCCTGTGATGGACTTGCGACCTGTCCAGGGTGTACCCCGCCCCTCACACTGTGACTGCTGGATATGGGCACCAATGACCCTGAAAGGAAGAAGTGGGTATAGCTAATAGGTGGATGTTATTCCTATGAAATGGACATGGTTGCATGCTTTGACTCATTCCCTTGAATCTCCTGCAGCCATGTTGAGCTGCCTAAACACTTGCTGGTACAAAGCCCCGCCTATTTACACAAAGCTCCTCCCTGCTGAGCTCCTGCCCCACACAGCACCCCTCCCCCTTGAAGCTTAGTTGTGAAGACTTGCTGAAAGTGGGAGTGTCGGAAACAGCAGGAGATTCTTAAAGAGTCAGAGGCCAATTTCAAGGGGTTTAGATAAACCAGGAGTGGGCGATCCTGGTCCGCGAAGGCTGCAGCTCTGCATGTTTGACTTTTTTCCCCTGCTTCAATTCACTTGGTTCAGTCACTGAATTACCCTTTCCAATTTTTACAGAAGCCTGATAATCACCCATTCATTCAAACCAGGTGTGTTGGAGCAGAGAAACAAGTAAAACATGCAGGGCTGCGGCCCTCAAGGACCAGGATTGCCCACCCCTGAGAAAGGCTATGATGCAAAGTCCGCTTCTCCATGAAGACATTTTTACTTACAGACCCAGAGGATTCAGAATGCTCTTCTTCTGGCACAGAGTGCTGTTTCTGGATGTCCCGAGCCCTCAAAGGCGGATGTGGAGGCAGGATGGGAATCGTGTCCTCCTTGTATTTTTTGGAGCGTTCCACCTTACAAACAAGGACATTTGTTATAATGCTTTCTGTGGCCATGTTTGAAGAGTTCACGCAAAAACTGAAGCATTTTATTTATTGTATGTGAATGAATGTCTAATTTTGGATGAGTCACACAGGATGTGAGAGTATTTATATGTGCAAATGAACTCTTGTCACTGACTGTCTTTTTGTTTCATCGAATTTAATAGGAGTCGATTTGCAAAACAAGGCAGCAAAGCTTGATTAAATGGAAATGAAGCACCTTCATTCTGTGCACTCTTTCCCTTCGTACAAACTCCTCCAGGTTCCTTTGGATTTCAGTCTTGTGGACGCGCTGGAAGAGTGGCAGGGAAAATTAGCATAGGGTAATCGTGAGGAGAACTACAAATTAATTGGCAGATTTATTTATATTTTGTGTGTGTGTCCTTTTCCATGTTTCACCTCCATCTCCATCATTTTGTGGAAAAAGGCCTGGGCCAGGCAGTCTCTGATGTGTCTCTGATGGGCTCTTTGGATCAGCTTGTGTTTGTACTCCTTGTCTGGAACAATTCGTCCACTCCTGGTGATCTGATAACAACAGTCAGCATAAGAGTTAAATTAAAATACAAATGATAATACAAGAGCTTCAAAATGCCCTAAAGGGATCTCGACTAGATGTAACTTTAACCATTATTGACTTGAACAAATACTGTAGGTTATTTAGTTTTTATGAATAAAAAAAATAAAGCATTCTGGGTAAATGATGAAAGTGATTGATCTGGTGCGAGCTTCTTCCAGCTTCAACATTAATTCTGAGCAATTTCTTATGTTAAGCCCTTTTAAATGAAACCGGAGCGCATTAACAGAGAGGAGAACGTAGAAATGACTCAGCCTGAAACTGAAAATTATGATGGACAACAGAGTTGCTTCAGGGAAAATAAACCTCAGCTTCCGCCTTTTAGATTTGTGTTAGCTCCAGAGTTGGTAAATATATTAGCTCCCAAACTAATATACATATGGCGATAGTGTCACCTCCTGAGCTAATGCTGGTAGCCCAGACCTAATAAATATTGTGTTATCTCCCAAACTGAATGGTATTAGCTCCAGAGATATTAAAATAAAGTGTTAGCCCCAGTGCTAATATATACATATGTATACAAAGCGATATATGGTGTTTTATCCACAGATAATAATATAGTATAGTGTTAGCTTCCGAGCTGATGTATATATGTCGTTAGTTTAGAGCTAATTTATTAAACATCACATTTCATTATTTTAACCTATCGTGTAAAACATAAAAACTAATAGTAAATATAACTTTATTGTCACACATTATGCTTTTAGCCTTCGACTTCTTGTGTTTTAGCCCCAACTGTAAACTATCATCATCATCCCCATAGGGCTGCAACGATTAATTGATTAATCAACGACTAATCGATTATTAAAATAATTGATGACTAACTTAATAATCGATTAATCGTTTTCTTATTTTTTTGGTTCTTTACTTTGTTTTTCTCTCCAAACTGCTTTGACACCTTCCACTGCCACATCTGCCTTTCTGTCCTTGACACACATGCACAGTA